TTGAAACCATTCTGGAGTGAAAACTGACTACTTAAGTAGTGGGAATCTTTCACATTGACTTTCTATTGTCCAAAAAGTTAAGTATGTTTTATAGAAGGCATGCAAAAAATGCGTTTTCTACTGCTCATTTGGTAGCACATTACGCTGACGTCATAAACTACCCTCGAAGGGAGGATATATTTAGATTTTGAAAACGTTTTTCGGTTCCAGAATAATCTTAAGCCAGATTAATAGTTACATTATTTTTTTGCCATTTAAGTTTACAAGGTGTATACTTTCCGGTAAGCAAAGTCATGTACTGCTCCAAGCTTTTAAGATTGTACATTGTACAGTTAATAAAATTCTGCAATGAATTCGGATTATGTTGAAAATTTCAAGCGGAGCCTTAATAAACGCATAGGTGTGATGCTGTGTTAATCGACATTGCGCGGCTTTAAAAATTTCATAATAAGACACTTTTTCAAACCAAAAACCGTTCTTTCCTGACAGTCCGTCAGTGCTTGTATTAAAATATTACTTTTCTCCTTACAGTATTTGACGTTCCCAGGCGAAGAAAGAAACTGAAAGCTGTCTTCTAACTAGTAGTTTTAATTCCTCTACGTTCTCTTCAAAACATCTTCCGTTATTCATAGGAAGGCTATTCTTGCATTTTACAATTTCAATTACGGTGGTCAAGCGCTTCAAAACTAAAAAAGCATTCAGATAATGAAAGGGCTGGCCTTCAAACTCTGGTTAAGATCAACTGCTGCATGCGTAAACACAACAACCTCTGACTGTCGGGTTGTCTGCCAAGAATTCTGAAAAAAACTTGAAAATGTTAAAAAGCGATTGAGGCACAAACAAAAATCCAAAGTAACAACCCCGAAGGTTTAATAATTTTTTTCCCAGCAGATCTATAGATTGGTACGAATCCAGCAACTGACCGCTCTAGAACGAGCAATTCAGAGTTGGTATTGATAATTTAGAATGACATTGTGGGAGGTAAACCCGATTCCCGTTCATTATAAGCAATCTGGCTACAGCTTTAAAGCCAACTAACTGACGGAGGTTGTTCGTTTTCGACTGGCATGCAAGATAGGCAGTGTGGCAATGACGCCTTCAAAACTGCGTTCATTGCAGAACGCATTACTATGGCAATTTTGTTCCCCCTTTCATCGCCAGGCCTTGAGCGCACGCTAATGGTCCCTCGTGTCTGAGAGCTGGGACGTCTTTCCACCTGATTCGCGCAACTCAAACAATGATTGCTATTGCAGAAGGTCTTTGTTCTGTCAGGGACATTTCTTGATCGCCAATGTGTAAGCTATTTGGTTCTTTTGTCCACTGAGAGAATGAGTTAAAACTGGTTTTAAGCTGGAACAAGACATTGAAAATTGATAGATAAGTACGCGATGGATCCAGTTTCTGGCAATAAATTAAAGAATGATTATTATTAGACTCGGTTTCATAAAGTCGCTTTTTGTCTTTTTCGAATCAAAGCCTGTGATACTGGTCTCTGCATCAGTCCGCAAATTTATATTTGAGCCTATTGCGGAACGCTCGTTAACTGTTTAAGCAACTGGCTAGTACTGTTTGTGTAAAACAGTGGACGAACAAACAGGATTTGAATACTGTACACATGCCTTTTGCGCCTAGAAAATGCGATCTACAAGTCGGGCTCTTTGTTTCTAGGTGTTATTTATGATTATAGCTGACTATTGACATCTAACAGGCCAGACACGGTTGGTGACCAAATCGGTTGTTAGCAAAAACATGAATTCAATTTATTGATTGATTCTGAAGGGGCATAAGACTTGAGCTAAAAAGCGGACTCCAACAGTTGCTATTCCCAAGCTATTCTCATTTTTAACGAAAACAGGAAATACCAACAGACGGATTATGCCGAACGAGTGGTTTAGCAAGGATTATTCCCTAAATGTTTACCTTTTACGCAGGTGCAAACTTCACAGCAACCCGAGGCGATTAAATGTATTTTCTGATTAAGGGGTGCCAATGAAGTAATTTCTGTATATAAAGTAGCAACAAGAGAAACGCCCCAAAACTTGGAATTTCAAATAATTCCTTTCTTAAGCGGACTATGTTCGTAAGTGTGTTTATCAAGGAAACATTTTGGAACTCTGGTCAAAATAAGGCGTTACCTCAGACCATTTTCCATGTCAGTAATTGTCCTTGCCCACAATTTTGCGTCCGTATACGATTTCTTTCGAAAAGAGATTGACCTAAATAAGAACGGCGTGTCAAATCAATCCTAACGCATTTAAAAATTGAGTTTTTGCTCCGTATGCGCTGGGTAAAGTGGAATGTGGGCAAAAAATATTATTTCAGAAAAATGAACCACTATTATTCTTTAAGAATTTGCTTCTGTAAGACGAAGCATAAAGCTAATACAAACAAATAAGAAAAAGGGCTCTGATATAATGAAAACAAGACAACTTTTGTGTGTAGCAGAAATCCTATCCGTATGTGTCAAGAAATTGCATAAGCTGTCTTATTTCTTAATATTTCTCTAAAATCGGCTTTGCAAAAATATGAAAAACTTAAACACTTTTTGAAAAATACACCAGTTAGGAGGTAAGGCAGTAGCGACAGCTCTCAGCCGATCAGGCTTTCGTTCTGCACGTTCCTTTTATTTGGCGGCAAGGCTTCATATATGTGTAAGTCTACAAACATGATGAAAACCGCTCAGAACCCAAGGAGTGTTCAAGTGCTAGCAAAGTGACATATGGACACGAATTTCAAAAACGTGTATTTTCAGGCAGTCGACATAGAACCCTAAAGACCGTAAAAAGATCACCAGCTACTCGAAGCAGTTCAAAAACTAAAACAAAAGTTTCGGAAGAAGGGTGCTTCTGATACTCTGTCTGCAGTGCAGCTGCCACTTCTATCGATATGTAAAAATATTTTTGGTGACCGTTGAGCCATCCTCTGTAAACTAAGCATCGGCAACTCAGACACTAGAAGACGGAAATATTATTCGTTCGCGTCGCCGGATGTGAACAACGTCCAACAGCAGCCAGCAACGCGATTGCGGATGCATCCTGGTTGTCTTCTTCCCGATCGGAAGTTGAAAGAGGATGTTGGTCAGTAGGAAACAGCATTCTGCCCACGTCCTCAGGAAACCAAGGCCGTTGTCGTACAGTCATCGATTCTTCGAGGTTTCAGAACTTCCATCCAGGCGGCGTAATCACACCCAACGCGTGCAGTAAAGTCAGCAAGGAAAACCAGCTTGTCCGCCATCTGCAAAGGTGCCAGGATGACGTGCGGGTTCTCGTAGAGATAGGCCGTCGCCTTGTCGGAGTTGGCCATTGGGGAGGGGGGGGGGAAGTAGACGCTGACGATGGCGGGGAAGTTGACCCCCCGATGAGGCAGGTACAGAACCATGACACGGTCGTTGACGTCCTAGGGTTGATAGGGCAGTCGTCCCACTATTTCATTCAGGATCGCAAAGACGACACTTGCGTCGGGTCACTCTGCCTTTGGGCGGCCGCTCCAGAAGAAGGTATAGCTGGCACCCAGCTCGTCCAATTGGCCGTGTTCGGGAGGCTAGTCTCGCCGTGAGCAGCGATGTTCATCTTGTAGCAAGCTAGTTCTCGGGTGGTTGGCGCCATCAAGCATTCCGGCCGGTCGCAACTCGGAATGTCTAAAAAGGAACAAAGATTCCACGCTGAACGTACCCTATCAGTCTGGCGAGTGGGGTAGAGTGTAAGAGGGGGTAGAAAGGGATTGTTGTCTCGTATTTGATGGTTTCGTATTTCAGTTTGCGAGTTACGGTCTGCGCATAAATATCATGGACCCAGCATTTGTTTAGAGCACATTTTCTCCGCGATGGACAAAGCAGTGCTGTCCCTAAATAGGGTTGCTGAAACATCACGGATGGTTGACGAACTCCCTATGGGTCGCTTTTTTGTTTGGTAGAGGACAAACCCAGTTAGTCTGGACTGCTTGTGGGATTGCACGTCGCCCTCTACGCAAGCTGTTTTGAAGTGGAAGTGGAAGTAATAGGTTGAGGAGAGGAGAGAGAAATGGGGGAGGATGATATAGGAACAAAATTGCCAAGGAATGCGGACACACGACAGCGCATGTAAATCAGCCCGACGATCGAGACAATTACCGAGGTGTGGTCGTAAGGCGGAGCGAGCATCAATGAGTAGCATATGATAGTTGTGCATCAGATAAAGACCGTGAGAAACAGTCACTATTTGCATGGTACCATCTACCACTCGTGCATGGGTGTCCCTAGGTTGACACATTTCACGTCTGAAGACGACTTGGGGAACCAAGATCTAAAATTTACGAAAGAACCTGTTTATCTTTCCCAAAGAGCTTATTTCTTTCGAAATACATGTACATATATATAGGCAGAATGCTATTACCGACAAAGACAAGGGAGACTGGAATGGCAATTTCTGGCTTATTAGCCTTCGTCAGCCAGCCATACCCAACCCCGACGTGTGGAACACACGAGCCTCGAACTCGCGACCTGTTGGTTTAGAAGTCCAAGCCGCTACCCACCGGGCCACGAGCCCGTTGCCCCGTCGGTTTTCGATCGGGAATATACAATGGTAGGGAGCGCTCACCGATCGATCATACGGAACTCACTCGTTCCGTTGAGCCATCAGGGCTCTCTCTCGAGCCCAACCAGCAGCCGCACAGCGGCGCATGATATATAGGCAGAATGGTATCACCGACAAAGACAAGGGAGACTGGAATAACTACTTCTGGCTTATTAGCCGTCGTCAGCCAGCCATGCCCACACATTTCGGGCTTGGGCTCAACGGAACGAGTGAGTTTCGTATGATCGATCGGTGAGCGCCCCCTACCATTGCCTGCCTTTCTGCAAATTTCTCCCTACGACGGTTGTTAATCTTTCGAAAAGGGGGTTATCTTCTACCGAACTAAGCCTCCTGTCTAAGGGGATAAGATTCAGTCACACCGATGCTGCACCTACGGACGTCCTAGCCAACCTCGAATCCCTCCTTCTGACCTCAGGCGTCCCTGATGACATGTGCGCGAACATTCGCAGATGCGCCACTGGTCTCCTTCGACAAAGGAAACATCATCAAACCCTACCGACCGAAGAGCAAAAGGCGTTGCGATCGCTAAAGACAGATGACAATATAATTATTATGTCTGCTGACAAAGGAGGAGCAACCGTTATCATGGATAAAGTTGATTACGTCAACAAGGCAAACCAAATCTTCGATGACAGGGAAGCCTATGCGCCACTCGCTGCAGACCCAACGAAAAAGCAAGCCGCGACTATCAAGAAGAAAGTGAATGAGCTTCCCCGATTGACGCTCATAAGCCCCGATGACAGCAGATCTATGACCCTCAATGACCCCCGTATCGCACGTACGTACGGCCTTCCGAAGGTGCACAAGACAGATGCGCCGCTGAGGATCATTGTGCCACTTATTGGATCCCCTACTTACAATTTTGCCAAGTGGTTATACAGACACTTAAAACATCTCGCAAATGGATCGCAATACAGCATCAAAAATTCTCAGGCTTTCCTACAAAAGATCCAAGGCCTTGAAGTAAGTCCTGACGAATGCATCCCATCGTTCGATGTTGTTGCCCTGTTTTCTTCAATACCGCATGACCTAGTGATTGACAGAGTAGCCCGATGTCTAGAGCAAAGTCCCATTGGCATTCCAGCAGAACATGTTCAAGACATGCTTAAGCTTTGCCTCAAGAATTATTGTCAGTTCGATGGCAAGTTCTATCAACAAGTAAAGGGCACCCCAATGGGCTCCCCAATATCGGGGCTGCTTGCAGAACTAGTCTTGCAGCGACTCGAACAGGATATTGTGCACACCTTCGAACCCAAAATGTGGCTCCGCTACGTGGACGACACGTTTGTCAGCATAAAGACCAGGGAAGTTGAGCTATTGCATCAGAGCTTAAATAGCGTCTTCCCGGCTATACAGCCTACCCGCGAAGAAGCAACAGGAGATACCCTCCCCCTCTTATATGCGAGCATACAAAGACTCAGTGATGGCAAACTAGCGACAAGCGTCCACAGAAAAGACTCCAGTGCCGAAATCATACTTATGAGTAATCATTCCGCGGCCCATAAACGAAGCTGTGTCCGCACTCTTTTCCATCGGGCCTATCGCATCTGCAACAGTGATGACGCACTTAAGAACGAATTGGCCTACTTACATCGGTTGTTCCGCTCCAACGAATAACCTGCCAGTTTTGTAAAGAACTGTCTCAGACGCCAGAGACAACTACCAAACCCCGAGTCTCATGAAGATAGAGCGTCGCAGAAATTCTATTCACTGCCATACATTCAGGGAATCTCTGAAGCGCTCTCCCGGCAACTAAAACCCTTTGGCATCTCCATTGCCCATAAGTCCGCATCTTCCCTGCGCGAGACATTATGCCGAGTAAAGGACCCGGTGCCCAAAGAACAACTAAGTAACGTCATCTACCGCATACTGTTTGCCAACTGCCCTTGTGTTTATATTGGCCATACAGGCCGATGTCTTGGGACTCGCATTAACGAACACAAGTTAGCCCTCCGCCGACGTGACCCTCTGTCCCTCGTGTTTGCACACGCCATTGAGCATGACCACCGCTTCAATTGGAACGGCACTGAGGTGATCGCAAAGGCTAACACCAGACAGGCGCGAGAATTCCTCGAAGCTTGGCATTCTGGCACGACCAGCATCAACGGCCACGTCGATCTAGACGCTCACTGCGAGGGCTTACGTACACGCTCACTGTCTTGTTCCCACACCTCAACATTTGCTAACCCCGACTCGGCCACATAGGCGTACGCTCTTTCGCCATTCCGCTCCCCCCTTGCG